GGAAGGAGGGACTTCACCTACTCATTTTAGAAATGGACATTTCTGTTGCTGTCCCATCCTGTGTGTAAGTAGCCTCCCCACTCCCACCAGTCTTGGAGTGCCTCTACTTGATGTGCAAGAGCAGTGATGGGCTCCAGGGCTGTGTGTCCATGTCCAGTCCTGCTCTAACACACTGGGATATTGCACAAGGAACTGAGCCTGGCAGGGAGTTTTAGGGCTGCAAAAAATACAGCAATTGGCAAATTCTGTAAGAATTTGAAGAATTCAAAGAAGAGAGACTAGGTCTCAAGCAGATCAGAAAAATATTTTTGCTGCTGAAAGAGGTGTGAAGAATTTTCTTACAGGACTGAATTTGGCTGGGAAGATGCACTTGCCACCCTCCAGCAGATAAGCAGCTGAGCTGTGAGATCATGCAGCCACTGCAGGAGGTCAAGAAACCAAATTCTTGATTCTCAACTGGCAAACAGGTTTTATGAATAATTGTAGGGGGTTTTTTTGAAGGGGATGAAGGTGGTGTTTAAGCTGCCAGGAATTTACCTCAGCCTCAAGTGAAGTCATGACCACTGTCAAAGCCGTGGCCGTGTTTGCGTAGATAAACCCAGAGTTATGACTTCATCCCATCCAGGGGTGTCAGAGATTCCTGTGTGCTGTGTGCCTGTGCTTTCTCAGTTTAAGATTTATGTGACTTCTCAAGGGGAGTTGTAATAACCAGGGACCTATTCCAAACTTTGAACAAAGCTGGCAACTGCTTACAAAAGGAATGAAATCTCAAATATTCCTGTCAACAGCTGGACCTCTCCTTTCCTTACAGGGGAGACAACTTTTAATTATAAAATGAAAATGTTATGGTTATTTGACAGATAACCAATTCCATAAACTCACTGGTTTTAATCATAAAGAGAAAGCATTCCTTAAAAAAAAAAACTTTGAATATCTCTTCAAGACAAACTGTTTATATGGGACAGTTAGCACTGCAATAATGCATCACCAGCACCTGCAGTATAACTAAAGCAACACACTGGTACATAATTAACAACTTTCTTCCAATGAACCATGAGCAACACTTTATTTTGGAATCTTTGTATTCTAGGAATTAAGGGCAGGATGCAGAGCAGCAGAACTCAGATAAGTGATAACCACAGCTGAGAAAAGGCACAGTAAACAGCTGTGAGCAAACACTGTAGGCTGAAGTAGGAAGAGCAAAGCACTCCCCCACACACAGCACTTTGCAAACAGGTGCTGGTTCATGCCACAATAGACAATAGTTCATCTAGAGGCTATTTTGGTGAAAAGGTACTTCCAAGTTCTTACATAATAATACTGAATCCTCAATAGTAAACTTGTTTCCATTTAGATAGCTGGTGTGTTTCCTAGGTGTGGTCAGAGAGAGCTTGTTGGGTTTTTTACTTTCTGCTTGGAGTTCCAGTTAGTGTGCTACTTACAAGTCAAAACTATGATTCCTCAATGTTTTTGTCAAGGGGGAAAAATGTACAGAAAACTTATCAGTCACATGCTGACAGATACAAGGTATGAGATGGGACTGCAGTTTGTATTTAAAAACATTAAAACTCTCACACACACTAGTCTAATACATATCACTTAAAAAGGATCTCTGAAAAGGAGTGTTCAGTATTTCAAGCTCACATTCTTACCAGTACAGCATTTAATCTTCTCAGTATGTATTTATTATACTTTTCTTCTTTGGAGAGTTGATTGTACATCTTAAGCTTCTACCAGTGCTTGAGAGTTTTGCAGTAAATTTCATTTGTGTGGGGAGGGCAGAAGAGCCTGAGCAGTTTCTGAGGCGGCTGAGACCTCTAGTGCCCAGTCCTTTCATTGCATGGCTGATGTTTTTCTGTTCTCCCACACTCAAAACAAAAATAAGAAATTGCTTATGTTCCTAATGAAGTGTTAACTACTGAATTGATTGGATAACTCATCCCTTTCAGTTTCTGCCTGTTCATGTTCCTTCTGAAGAAGAAAAGAGTGATCCAATTCTTTTTGCCAACAGAGTCCGACAAACCATGGCAAAGTAAGTAACTGATCATCAGTAAAACCTCTGAGAACTGTTCTTTTATATCCAGCAATTCTATATACAGCCTAACCATAATGTACAATTTAATCAAGTTTTGGGTATTATCCATAGGAATTGCTGTAGATTTTCACTAAGAGGTGTCAAAATCCTATGCTAAATTACCTCAATTGTTTTTACATGGGACACAAAAAAGATATACATTGGAACATAGTATGTTCAATTCATAGAAAACTGGAATAAAATGGTCTCTCCTTGCTTGGAAAGGACAAGTGGGTGGTGGTTTGTTCTCCAGCATTACTGGGCTGCATTTACAGGACTGTAAATCTTAAAAACTCATGGTGCTGCCATAACGCAGTTTCACGGTGTGGTTTCACAGGTTCATGAAATGGTGTGTATTGCTTTGTCCTACTTGCAGCAGTGCAAGAATGAGTTAACATTTGCTTTGCATATCAGAGAAGGGAAACTGCCTACAATAAGTTACTTTAATATATAAGAAATTAATTTTGCTTTTCCTTGATTTTATTTCAGTGCTTTGAATTTGCCAGTGACTGATCACACTTTTGAGGATTGCAGACTGATGATTTCAGCAGGACAGTTGACTTTACCCATGGAAGCTGGGCTGGTAGAGTTCACCAAAATTAGCAAGAAACTCAAGTAAGGGAAGTTTTTACTGCTTGGAAGCATAAATACTAAAGTGCTGCAGGTGTTGATGGCTGTCTACCAAAGGTTAAATAACCAGACTACAGACTTGGCCATGTGTAACATACTGTATTTAAGCATACAACTTACATAAATTGCAAGGAAATCAGAGATGAGGAAAATCCCAGTAAGGACTAATCCTGAGCAATTTTTGTTGCCAGAGAAAAGATTGTTTTCACCAAAGGGTTAGAAAAGCAGAGCATTACCTATTTGAAGAATGTAATGGTAATCTTGGTGGAAATTTAAATTGCTTTAGTGGTGAGGCACTGACAGCTTGTGGCAGGAAGTAAAAAGCTTTCTTTCCAGCCTGAAACTTCAGCTTACTGTTCTTAGTTTTACTGTGCAGCCATGTGTCACTAGTGATGTTAGTTTTTTCTGTCTGGATACAGTGTAATTTGAGGACTGAGCCATGTAACCATACTCCATCAAATAACCTGGCATGGCTGTGGTGAAATCTGAATGTGTCCAATAAATCTTGACTTATTATTAAGTGCTATGTATCCATTTATAGAATTCTATCTGGAATAGATACATGGCAATCCCAATTATTCTTACTGAGGTGCAGTGGTGTTTTTTGCAGAGATCTGACAGTTCTGAGGCTCTAGCAATACTGGTGTTTGGGTAGAGAGCTTGCTAATAGAGCTGAGACCTGCTCCCTCTGTCAAGGAAATACTTACCCTAGAGCATGATGCAGAAAAATACACCTGAATTTATGGTAATGAAAAGCTCTCTGCTGGAGCAGCCTAGTAATTGGACAGACTATTCTAGGTTTGGGAAGTTATTCTGTGGAAGTCAAGCATAGAACTGCCTGCTTTTAATATTAATAACCAGAGGGGAGCAGTCCTTAATTACTGATTTAAAGTCAAATATCTGGTCTGAAGTACAGCATTAGAAATGCTGTACACACATGCCCTGTTTGGCAGTTTTTCATCTTTGAACACTGTAATAACTCCTACTGAAATTCCATCTGTCCGAGAACTGCTGTATAGAAATATCTCCTCTCTCTCATGTTTGCATAGCCTAAAATGGAATCATGTCAGAGAGCAGCTGGATACTTTTGCTGCTATTGCAAGTGCTTCCAAAGGGGGAAGAATTGGAATTGAGGAGTTTGCTGAGTACTTGAAGCTGCCTATTTCAGATGTCCTCAAAGAGCTGTTTCTACTTTTTGACAGGGTGAGTAATTGGTTAACTGACTTGTTGACAATATTTTGTTAGACATCACATACCAAAACTATATTTATTATAATGCATTATGTCCAGCTTAGTAAATGCTTCTTGGTTAACAGTTTCTGTAAGCAAGGTAGGTGACTCCTACAGTTTTTTTTCATAAGTTTCAGTGGAGAAAATATTCATTAGTTTCTGCCTTGTGAGATGGCAGCCATCCCTCAGACCAAGCTGCTGCACCAGTATCCGACAATAATCTTCATGCTGGTAACAGCTGAATATTTTCTTTGGCCAACTGCAGATTTTGATCTTATGTACATTTTGATAGCTTATTTAGCTGTTGTAATTAATTAGATAATTTAAGGCAGAGTGAAGCTAACTGGAGTGTTCACTGGAACACTGCAGTGTTCCTGCTGTGCTTGTGAATGGTGCTGTTAGACTGTACAGGGACCCCTCTTGCTTCTCTCATCAGTAAAGGGGGCTATGTGTTAACATGATCATTTAGGCTTTACCCCTAGTCAGTGCTAATCTCTCCAGTTTTCTTCTTCTCTCTGAGGATGACAGAAATGGCTGCATTTCTCTCTATACCAGAAGCATCAGTGACTAGAGCAGAGATAGAATTAATCTTACTTCTAGGCCTCCACTTGTGCTGCAGTGCACACAGCCTGTTGTCCTGCAGGTGCCTGTGGACTGGAGATTTTCTGTTACCATAAGAGCTTTCCCAGCTCACCATCACTCTTCCTGATCAGTTGGCCTTAGCAGTACACCTGTCCTTGGGAGGCCATGGTATATGCTGATTAAAACTGTTTCAGGATTTTTGACATAAAAAGTTTTTACGAGCTCTAAAATAGGAAAGAGTCAAACATATTTCCTGAACTTCTGAAGTCCTTGAAGCTCTAGCAGAGCTAGGTACTCATCCTTTTGTCATTTCTGCCTCCCCATCTTGGACCATTGGCTCCTGAGCTATGTAGTCTAAGTCCTGATGCACAGTATCTATATCAGAAATGTGCAGTGGCAACCAGAGTAATTATGGGCAATCATACTCCTTCCACTTTCTTTATATGGTGCAACATCAATGACTAGAACTAGTAAAGTTATGCTCAATTCACTAAAATTTTGAGGGACTAAAAGACTGTGAAAACAAAGAAGTGCAAGGCTGCATTCGCCTTTAAGGAGATCAGCACAACTGAGGAACAGTCATGCTCATCTAATAGGGCTGGTTTCAAGTTGCTTCAGGTATGAGCACAAGCATTCTGAGACATCTGCTTTGTGGGTTTCAACCTCATTATGTTTCTCTCCAAAATGGTTCCTTCCTCAAATCACATAAACATAACAATGCAAAGAAGAAAAGAAATAGGGGCGTATCTACACCTGACAGAAACCAGTGAGACGTAACTGGCAGCCAGAAACATGCACAGACATGGTGAAGTCTAAGCATGCAGATAAGCTGTGTTTTACCCACGCCCAAGTCAGACACAAAACAGCTTCAGAGAGCTACAGAACACTGGATCTCTGAGTAAGTCACTTCAGAAAATCTTCACAATGTTCCTTGCTAAAGCTTTGCTGAGTGGAGGAAGTGGAGGAAGTGGAGGAAGTGGTAAGAGTCGTGGAGGAAACCTTGTACGTGGCCTTGGAGGGCTCCTGACAGGAGGTGGAGGTGCAGGGAATATTGGAGGACTTGTTGGAGGTCTCGTCAACCTTATAAGTGAAGCAGCAGCTCAGTATAACCCAGAGCCGCCTCCACCTCCTCGCAATCATTTTACAAATGTGGAAGCTCAGGAGAGTGATGAGATCAGACAATTTCGTCGCCTGTTTGCCCAGCTGGCTGGAGATGATATGGAAGTGTGTGCCACTGAGCTAAGGGACATCCTGAACAAAGTCCTCTCCAGACACCAAGACCTGAAGGCGGATGGCTTCAGCTTGGACACCTGCCGCAGCATGGTCGCCGTCATGGACAGCGACACGAGCGGCAAGCTGGGCTTTGAGGAGTTCAAGTACCTGTGGAACAACGTCAAGAAGTGGCAAGGAGTGTACAAGCAGTACGACACTGATCAGTCAGGCACCGTTGGGAGAGCCCAGCTGCCCAGCGCCTTGAGGGCTGCGGGGTTCCAGCTGAACGAGCAGCTGTGCCGCGTGATCGTGCGCAGGTACGCCGCCGAGGACGGCAGCATGGACTTCAACAGCTTCATCAGCTGCCTGGTGCGCCTGGACAGCATGTTCAGGGCCTTCAAGTCCCTGGACCAGGATGGAAGTGGCCATGTCAGAGTGACCATTGAAGACTGGCTGCAGCTGACCATGTATTCGTGAAGGCAAAGAAGAGGCCTTGTGTGGAAGATCCATCTGGAGGGCTACACTCCTCTGCTACACTGCTGTGGGCTTCACCTTTAGTCTTTCTAGGGCAGATGTAGCAGTAGATGGCTTAGCTTCAAGTGTAGTGATTCCTCTAGTGCATGCACTAGTTTGCTTTTCTGAGGGGTTTCTGTAGGTTGTTTGGGCAGTTGCAAAAGTTAAGAAAATTCTAAACTCTAAGGTTAGGGAATATATTAGAAAGATTAAAGCTTATTTACTGTTTCATGTAAAGTGGCTTGTACACTAGTATAACTATTACATAAAAAAGCTCCCAAGTTTGGTGTTGATGTTGATGTTGCTGTTCTGGTTTGTCAGCAGTCACTAAGCTGGAATAAAGGCTGTTTGCCTGAAGGCAGTCACTGGTAGAGTCTTGTGCAGTTATTTCTAACGAGGGGAACAACATTAGAGTTGCAATAACTGTAATTATCAGTGAACTTACATAACCATTCAATTTCCTTTCTACTTCTGCGTTTTCATGCTTGGCTGCTGAAGCAAAACCTCAGTTTTACTGTCAGTTATATCTGGTGGCCAGGACAAAATTGAAGACTTCTATGAGGCTACTTCTGCAATGATCTCCTTCCTACAGTTCCATCTTTTCTCTCTTTCCTTCAAACCTAAACATAGTTATAAAGCAAACAAAATACTACATTTATATTTAGAGAAACTTGAAATAATTATGCAGTCACATAGCAGAGAGAGAGCCAAAGTCAACCTTTGGCTGTCTGAGTGAAATTTCATCAGAGTGCAGCATCCCACTCAAGGCAGTTATGCAGTTCTGGCTAAGATGTCAACTTCTGAGTAAAAAAATAAAAGGAATAACATGAACTGTCAAAAGTGCATTTCTTTGAATTAAGAATTACATTGTTGATCAAAACAGCTCTTGCACAAGGCGGATTTCTTGGCAAGGCTCTGCTGTTTTAAACAAAAATCGTCTTGGGTGTGTGCGAGCTGGCTGGAATGTGAAAAGAGGAGTTAAATCGGCAGCCTGGCACTAGAGGCAGTCTCCAGATGTGAGAGAGAGCCTCTCTCAAATGCCCCTGCCCTTCCCCAGGGACACAGCAGTGACTCATTGAGAAATACCACACAATACCTGCCGGCCAATCCGCACATTAATCGGGTGCTGTGGTTTGGTTTGATTTGGTCTGTAAGTTTCCATAGGTTTGATTTCTAAATCTTGCACTTGGCAAATAGTGTTTTTCAAATTGTTGAGATATCCTCCCTGGTATACTTGCAGAAACCTTTCACTTGAAACTAACTTACAATTTGTGCCCAGACTTTTTTCCTCCTGCGCTTTGTCTAATAGCAAACAGAAAAATATTCATACTATCCCAGAGAAAAGAGGCCAGTTCCTTCCTAATGGCATTCAGCCTCCTCCCAGTTCTTCAGTGGAAAAGCACTCAGTTATCCATTGTGCCACGAAGTGCCATTTGGGCTCTGAGTAGTAGAAAAGTGAGCAGGAGGTAAAGTGTGATACTATCCTCTAAAGTATTGATGCAGTAGTACTTTATACTGCATCTGGCTTGCAGTCCCTGTGCAAATCTAAATGGAGAATGCTTATGACAGTGCAACTTTCTTGTTTTCCAAAGTCTAAGATTTACTATGTTATATAAAAAAACCAACAACAAAACCCCAGTTACCACAGCATGCTATAGGGAAAATAGCAGCAGAAAGCTGGCTTCCTTAGAGAAAACAGGAGTTCTGAAGGTTACATTATGTTTTGATTCCTTTGTGTAGCATAACTACAAATACCCAAATTCTGATGTTCTACTTTACCATGTAGAGAACTGGAGCTTAGTTCACACATTTTTTCCTTAAAATATTCTTGGGTACGTACATAGGCTGCAAACACAGTTAGATATGCATAGAAAGACAATTGCAAGCGCTTTTTGCAATGATGTTACACAAGCACCTAAAGTTTTCCTGTATTTTCAGTTTAACTTCCATTTCTTTTCCCAGGCAGCAACCCCATCATTTCTCCTTAACCAGAATGCCAGAGCATTTGGAAGTTAGCCAGCATCCCAGAGTTTAGTAGAACTAGTCACAACATGATCTTGCAAGGATAGTAACTATTTCCTACTAAAATGGCTGGAGTTCTATCAGATTGCACTCAGCATTGATTACTGAGTTTTCACATTCTAATGAAAGTAATATGACCTTTATTTTGTCTTTTTTCTTGTCATATTTCCATGTGCAGCCACAGCTGTGTTAACTTCTTTCAGAAGTTGTTTGTAATTAAATTATTTTAAAGTTTACTTCCCAATTCCTTTACTGTGATACATATTCTCAGCTTTGAAAATAAATTTTAAAAATATTCTAATCACATCAAACAATCCTTTGTTACGAATACAGTCTGCAAAACTATGAAAAAATAATATTCTGTGGAATGTTGAACAGTTATTTTCTGTACTGTTGCTTCAGTTGTTTTAAGACTTTATGTTTGTAATGTTACACCTTAAATTTAGATCTGTTACCTCTGAGAACTACAGTGTGAAGAAAATACTGAAAGTCAAACTCTGCACCCAAAGAGAGATTTGTAAATAAAACAACGCGTATGGGATAACATTGTCCTTTTCTAATGATTAAAAACTGTCAAAAGTTATAACCCTTAGACACCCATGAAAGTAACTTAAAAGTTCATATCTGTTTCATAGCACCCAAAATTTTCAAGCACTCTACAGCGCAGCCTTAGTATCTCCCCTGGCATATTGCACTGTTCAGCAGCAGAAAACCAAGAGCAGAAAGGTTAAGGTTGGTATGCTCAAGTGGACATTAGAAGTTGGTAGGAGAGCTAGAAATAGAATCCTGGTCTGGCTCTTTGCTGCAAATTTACCCAGCTGACCACCCCTCACTCACTTGGCTGGAAAAGTTTTGTGTTGTTCTCATACATAGGGACTCCACTTCTTGAGAAAATGTTTTTCTTGTTGAAATGCAAAACATATTATCCACAAAGGGAACTCTGCTTTACACTTCACTTTGCTTTTAAAACATTTTTGATGAATGCCCTTATTGTGAATATTCAAAACAATGTCTTCTTGTCTACTTGTCATCTCTGTTATGCTGTCATAACCTGCTCTGTGTCCCACCATGTAAGTTTTGCAGGTGGCCTTTGCCCAGACAGATGTTTCCCAAAACACTCAAGAAACTTCCAGTGTGGTGACAGAAACACCACTGACATAAGCATAGATTTCATCTGATATTCTCCCTGTCTGCAAATGTAATGCAGCTTACACAGAATTAATCACAAATCCCATCAAAGCAAGCTTCAAATGTTTTGTTGATGTAACTTTGTAGTTAGCACATTGAAATGTCTGTTCAGATCAAAACTGGAATTATTATAGAGGCTGTTCCAATGAATTCCTTGCCTTTCTGGCTTAAAAGGTAGGACAGTGCATTGGCTTCCAAATAACATATAGGGCAGTGCACAGGCTTCAGAGGAAAGCTTAAGATAAACCAGGGAGATGTGGTTGTCCTTTCACTGACATATATTTTATTGCTGAAGGTTCAAACTCAAAACAACAGCCTCACTCTCAGCCTGTTGATTCTGCATTGTCTTGCATTGGTCTCTGAACTTCAGCCAGTGCCAGTGCTGCAGTTACCTCAGACACATGGATTCCAGTTATTCTTAGAGCCTTCCTGAAGGCCATGTACTAAAGACAAACCACGTTGTTTTAAATCTTTTTTGTTTGTGTTTTGTTCATAGAAAGAAATCTATACCCAGTTTGTAGCTATTGAAAACGTGTATGTTGCTACTCCAGCCTTAGTATTACAGAGTTAGTGAGCTCTTAGGTTTTTTTCCTAGGAAGAACAAAAACCCTCGAGTATTGTAAACTGTCTTAATGTATGTGTTGTGTTTGATTCACAGAGGAGCTTTTAAAGTGATTTGCAGTATTAACTCTAACTGCTGCCATGCATGTTTGGTTACAGAATGGAGATGGCACCATTGACTTCAGAGAGTATGTGATTGGTTTGTCTATCCTCTGTAACCCAGCCAACACAGAGGAGACTATTCAGATGGCATTTCAGGTAAGTTCAATTTAGTGTAAATCTGCAAACCTGACAAATCAACACTGACTGTAAGTCTGTTAGCTTTCAAATCATAAGTTTATAGCTTCAATCTGTTATGCAAATGTGAGTAATTCTCTTAAACCAATTGACATTTAGAGTGTGAAAGGGAGGGGAAGAATTCCAGGCACCATAGAGAAGAGTTTCAAAAGCCATCTAAAGGCACTAATGAATATGTAACTTGGCAGGCTAACTCCAAAAATGATTCAGCAGCACTTGTAGTTTTTTTTTGCCTGAGGTTTTTTTCTGCTGTGATTCTTCAATGTCACAATAGATGGAGTAATATCCTCTTGTGGGTCAAGCTTCACTAGAGTCATTGTTCTTAACAAAGAGGAGGAATAAAACAAATCAAGGGCTGTTCAGGACTGGCACATTGAAAACTGGGCTGCATCTAAGAGCTGCTGGCTTGTCCTCTGGTGCCCTGCTAGTACAGGCAGTAAAGGAGCAGTAGCTCCTTTCACATCTCAGGTACATGCAGACAATACATGACCAGGCATGCCCGTGTTGTGAATCCTTGGCTCTTTTTTTAGTAGCTCTGACACAGATCCAGTTGTTTTACCCATTAATCTGGTCTTATGAACTGCATTGAACAACATATTGAGATACCACTCATGTTCATTGTAAGCTGGATGCTTCCTAGTACTGATACATACTTGGGAAGTACCAGAGATTTTTTGGCAATCCATTATATCCGCTGGCTTCTTTTCAGATAAGCACTAGAGCTTTTCAAGGTGATTTGTTAATTTTTGGGGATGTTTTATCCATGAAAAAGCAAGCCTAACAGCTATTGTTGCTGTTCCATTGTATTGTTTCCTAGACTATATTGTTCAGCATGTTAACAGGTGTGCTGATTATAAAATCAGTAATTTGGTTTAGTTTCCGGTTTCAGCACAAAACAACTCCTTTAGCTGGTAAAAGCCTGGTTCAGTCTAAAATGGAACTGTGGGTTCCTTTTGCTACTTGTTTTCTGTGCCACTAAATGTCTTTTCTTTCACAATGGCAAAGTTTGCCTGTAGCAAGTATTTAAGAATTACAGCCATCCATCCCTTGTATTTCTCCAAGGGTGATTCATAGCAGATGGTTACTGTCACTGCACTGGGCAGGATGGGATGATCAGTGTACATCAACTGTCTGCATTCCAGGAACCAAAAATTCCTTGTTAATTACAATTAATTCCTTAGTGAGTGATCAATCACATAC